GTGGAGCAGGTGGAGAAGAAGGACGCTGGAGAGTACACCTGTGAGGCCGAAGGCCAGAAACTGACCTTCAAGGTTCTTGTCACTGGTAAGAGAGTTTTTTTTTTCCAACTGAAGGGCTGATTTGCTGCCATTGCTGGTTTAAATATTGGAGAATAAAGTGCATTTCCTACAGTGGTAGCATGTTGGAGAGATTTTTGGTTTTGCCGTGATATTGATAAGAAATGAACAGAGTAAGCTGATAAAGTGGGGAGGCAGCTGAATCTTCTTAGTCGGTGGGCGTTTTACAGCAGTAGCGTAACATTTTCCAAACGATGTTGGGATTCTGAACTTCTGCATGGATTAGTGTCACCACCTTTGAAATACAAAAACAATGGCACCTGCCCACACAGAAGGCAAACCCCAAGTAACCCTAACCACAAGGCAACTCTACAATCCCCCTTCAACAGCAGCTCGTAGTATCTAGAGAGATCACACATATAGATAAGATTGATAACATTGCTTGTCTCCTCACTGTCGCGTGAGTCAAACCATCTCTCTGACACATGTGTGGTGCACTTGTGTGTTTGTGGGCAGGCAGCTGCTGTATTTTCAACACCTTTGATGTGTTATCGCTTAAACTGCGGAACTGGGAACACTGCAGCATCTTTAGGTGGACACAGAAACTTTTAACATTAGATCTCCCATTGCGTGATGATAATAATGCAAATCTTTAGACCCATGTAAAAAAAACCCTGGGAGACCAAATTATTTTTCTGGCAACTGGCAAATCCATAAAACAACAGGCAGGCCGGTCAAATATCAGCCAGGTGGAAACCCTACATGGCATCCATCCATGCCACTCTGGCTTCTCTTTAATGCCTTCATTTACTTTTAAAAAATAACAGCGCTTCTCAGTGGGAAGAAATGTTGGTCCTTTCAGGTATCAGAGGGGAGGGAACGTTTTGCAAGGAACATCTCAGCAAAATAAACTAGAGGGAGGCTTGAGAGGATGAATTCACATTTGGATCTGAGATCGCTCCAGAGGAATCATGAGAGGTGGGGTCTGGGGAGCATTATTATAAAGGAGAGGTGCTGGCAGGTCCATAGTTAAGGTTGCACATGGACTTGCACTGATGGTGGGAGGGGTCAGGCAGAGGTGGGAAACGTGAAGCAAAAAGTGTCTCAGATGCAGAGCTGTCAGCTTCTCCCTGCCTACTCCTTCTCTGTTCTCTGGATGGCATCACATCAGTGAGGGAGATTAATCCCTGTAATTCCTTTTCCCCGGCAGAGATGGAAGAGGTGTTTGCAAACAAGGAGAAGGTGCAGAAGGAGGTGAAGGCCGTCCTGACAGAGAGCACCATTCTGAGCTGTGAGGTGGCCCAGGCCAAGACTGAAGTGAAATGGTACAAGGATGGGAAACTGATCACCTCCAGCAAGAAATTCAAGGTGGAGTCTGAGGGCAAATCCCGGCATCTAGTTGTGGAGCAGGTGGAGAAGAAAGACGCTGGAGAGTACACCTGTGAGGCTGCGGGCCAGAAACTGACCTTCAAGATTGTTGTCACAGGTAAGAAACAATATTTTCTTTCAACTGTTTGCTACTGTTGTTGGTTTAAGTGTTGTAGAATGAAGTGCATATCCTTCACTGGAGGCATCTCAGCTCAGATATTCCGTATTGAGTGATACACAACCAATGACTTTTTAAA